CCCAATATTTTCTATTTAGTCATTTACCCCTTCTGATTTTAAGTAAATTTTAATTAATAAAAATTACAAATAATAATATACTTATATGATAATATGATGCTCTGTGTACTCCATTACCCAGAAATGACAATTGTTAACTTTTTGACATATCTGTTTTGAGTTGACTTTTTAAATAAAAAAGATAAAGTATTACAGATAAAGCTAGAGAACACTTTGCTCCATTTCCAAGATCCATTTCCTTCTTTGCCTGCCTAGAAGTAACTGATATCATTAATTTCTTTTTTAATGGCACAGGGTACATGCACACAACAGAGAAAGAGAGAGAGAAACCTTCGACAGGGCCTGGTCATGTCACAATCCCCTTTCTTTTATTCCTTCTTCCTGCCTGGGCTGGGATTTGAACCATTGTTGGCCATGTGAGATCAAGCTCCTTCTATACAGCGCTTAACCACAGCACTATGGGATCAACCCTGGTATCACAATTTTAATGTGCTCTCTTTATAGTTTCATGTGTATTTTCCCCATGGAAAGATAGTATATTTTTAAAATTTTTACCTAAATAGTATTTGTTCTCTAAATGCCATTCTATAACTTGTTCTTTTATTAGCATTGTTTTTGAAATCCTTCCTTGTTGGTGTACATCCCATTTCATGTTATGTAGTATCTGACTGCATAACTAACACTGATGGACATTTAGGTGAGTTCTAGTTTTTCAGTATTACAAATATTCCGTAAGAAGTGGATTTGCCTGGTCACTGAGCTGGGCATTTTCAGTTTTATTTAAACACTCTCAATGGTCTCTCCAGGCTCGTAAACTGCAGCAGCTAACAATTTACATCAGATCCACAGGGTATGTGAGTTCCCATGTCCTCAAGGTCTTACGATTTTTTTTTTTTTTTTTTTAATTGTCAGTGGGCACGTGCCCTTGCTAGAGACAGAAAGAGAGGGAGAGAGATAGCACTCCCCCAATGGGGCGTAGTCAAGCTGTAATCCCTTTTCTATCTCTTTATCCTGTTAGGATCTGGGGCATTCATACACTTGTGCCTGGCTTATTTCTCAAGCCACTGGGGCCAAGATTTGAACTGTGGTTGGCTATGTGGGATCCAGCTCCCTTAACCACTAAGCCATGGGGCTGGCCCCCTGATTCCTAATACTGTAAGAAATTTTAAATCTTGATAATCTAGGCATCTTCCTAAATGGTTACCAGATTTCTAGCTTCCTTTTCTGTGAATTTTTTATTCATTTATTTTGCTCATTAGTCCATAGTATTACTCATTAGTCCATAGTATTACTTATTTCTTACTAATTACATATTCTAAATATTAACCTTTGGTCTATAATACACAAGTTACAGCTATATTCTTTCAACTTTATAGTGTCTTCCCTACCTGAATGTTATAAGTATATTCTCCCACATTTTTTTCAGTTTTAAAATTTAGTTTTTTGCATTTAGATATTTCATCCATATGGAGTTTATTTTTGTATATGGAGTAAGACAAGAATCTCTTCTGATTTTTTCTGTAGTAATGTCATCTGTGCAACAGGCTTTATTTTAATTTTCCCCTCTTGCTTTCTCCCACATTTTTTTAGTGCCACCAAGCTCCATGTAAGTTGGGTTCTATTTTTGAGCCCTCTATTATGTTCCATACACACACACACACACACACACACACACACACACATATATATATACATATACACACACTCTATTTTGACCAATAACATGCTGTGTAATTACTTTTGCTTTATAATAAATTTAGAAATCCAGCCAATTTCTAAACTTTGATTTTTTAATACAAAGTTTACTGAAACAAAAATGTTTGATTTTTTAAAGAATTATTTTATTTAACTTTATTTTTTAATTTGATCAGAGAGGGACAGAAACAGAAAGAAATTGAGAAAGCAAGCTGCCAGGTCCAGGACTTGAATCACAGTCAGCCATGTGGGAGTCCAGCACCCTTAACCACCACACCAACAGCCAGCCCCGAGATTTTTATTTTAGAGAGAGATTTTTGGTATAGGGTGAGTGCACTAACTAGAGAGATAAAGAGACAAGAGACAGAGAGAAAGAAAGCGAGAAATCATCTCTGAGAGGAGATGGCCATGCTGCAATCCCTTCTTCTCCATTCTCCTCTCAGGATTCTGGGCACACACACAAGTGCCTGGCATAAATTTCAAGCCACCGGGTCTGGGACTAGAACTGTGGTTGGCCATGTGGAAGTCCAGCACCTTAATCACTATGCCATCTGCTGGCTCTGTTAATTTAAGACAAAATACTAAGTAATTTAATGTTATAGAGCATTTCAGCTGTTCTGTAAAATATGAAGAGTGTGTGTATATGGGGAGAGTTGGACAGACCATAATGTGATACACTCAGGTGTTCGGTCTCCCTCAGCAAAGTAAAGCAGTTATGCAGTAATATTTGTGTGTGTGTGTGTGTGTCTAAGTCATCTAAAGAATTGAGAGAACTATGCACTCTATTACCCTATCATCCATTGGCGACTTCACCAGTTGTTAAAATAGTATACCTCAAAGAATACTGATTACAATGACATATTCATTAATAAAAACAGGAAAATATTTTAAAATATATACTTCTGTTCACTTCTACCACTTGTCCCTAATGAAAGTAAAAGATAGTAGTTCCTTGACAAATCAAGAACATTTTTTCAATTGCATTATTACAGTCCACTGTGCTAGAAGGAAGGAAATGACTGCAATTGGAATATACACCATACTCACCTCATCTCCATACACCATAAGGTGATGCACAGTAACCAGGGCTTTGAACACCACCACCCAGCTGCTGCTCCCAGTTTTCTCAGAAAGAATATTAGCCAGATGTTCAACGCTCAGATTCGTTTCATTTATGTACTGTATTAGATCTAAATTAGAGAAAGTAACAATATTGAAATATAGGCTAAGAAATAGTTTTTAAGAGAAAAACAGGTCATTTTAACTTAAATATAGATAAATCAAATCTCAGAGAAATGACAAAGGAGTAATTGAAGACAGTGTCTTCATTACATATATGACAACTTGTACTGATATATGTTACATGATATTTAATGCCTGTTTACCCTATCATTTTTTAAGAGAGGGTTTTGCTATAGGGCGCTTATGCTTGCCAGAGACAGAGAGACAGAGAGCAATAAATCACACCCCAGGGGGGATGGTCATGCCAAAATCCCTTCTCCTCCATTCTCCTCTCAGGATCTCAGGCATGAACACACACACACCTGGCTTGAGTTTTAAGCTGCAGAGTCTAGGCCTCAAACTGCAGTTGACTACGTGGGAGTCCAGTGGCATAAGCATTATAGCATCTGCTGGTCCCAACTCCTATTATCCTTTATCCTTGACAAGGGCAGGAACTATGATCAGTTTGTTCACCAAGACTCAGCACAGTAGATGACACATAACAGGATATGGCACATGCTTGTTAAATGAATAGATAGGATGCAAGAAGGTGCCATACTCAACGTCATACAGGTAGTTAAGTGGCAGAACTGGGATTCGAAATTAGATTTGCTTGACTAAGCTATTAATTCTTGTCATAGTGCGTCTCTCAAGAAGGTTCAGTTAGGGGTTTTCCTTGCAGTGTGACCCCTTTCTCTGCATCCTTTAATATTTTAGTGTTTTTTTTTCTTCTTGAGTCCACTTCTTCATACCCTCGTGCTTAGTTTATTGTAACAGTTCCCTGATTTCCTGCCCCAGCATTATAAACACTTTTTTTTTTTTGGAGAGATTTTCACTGTAGGGCGCGTGCGCTCGCCAGACAGACAGAGAGAGACAGAAAGTGAGAAATCACCCCCCAGGGGGGATGGTCACGCCGCAATCCCTTCTCCTCCATTCTCCTCTCGGGATCTTGGGCACGCACGCACACGCGCCCGGTGTGAGTTTTAAGCCACCGGGTCCGGGACACGAACCGCGGTCGACTACGTGGGAGTCCAGCGACATAGCCATTACGCTAACTGCTGGTTCCCTATAAACACTTTTCAATGTTCATTATACAGTCCCTCAAAAGTTTACTTTCATTGTTTTGGTTTCCTATTCAAGAACATGTGATGATTTCTTATTTTTTCTTTTAATTTTTTTGCCACAGGTAGCATGTGCTTGCAGGTAGGGAGTGGGAGGGGAACACCCCCATGAGTGACGGTCAAGCCAAAATCCCTTCTCCATTTCTCCTTTGGGGATTTTGGGCAACCACACACACCTGGCGTGCTTTCAGGCTTCTGAGTCCAGGACTCAAACCATGTAGTTAGTCACATGAGATCCAGCTACATTAACCACTACACCACCAGCTGGCCCAATTTCTTTCTTTCTTTTTTTTTTTTTTTTTTTTTCAGTTCAAAATTCACTTTGTTTTTAAAAATATTAGTTATCATTAAAAAAAAATCAGTAGCATTTAATCATTAATTAGCCTAGTGATACAATCCACAAGCATATTTGCTAAGCACTTTCTTCAATACCTACCCTAATGCTATGCATGTAAAAGTGCTGATTAATGAATAAATGCTGTAGATCTGAATTCATGATTTATCAGGTGTTAATGCCTAATATGTGTCAGCTGCTGTGTCATGGTTAAGGTTATAAAGATCAAGATTCTTTCCTGTTTTTAAATCTCTAAGTCTGCTTGATTCTCTTTCTGTAAACAGTTTCTTTTGCAGGTTCTTGGTTTCTATTTTATCCTGATTTCACCTTGTATGAACATTTAAATTACCATGTTATTGACTCAAGTACTTCTCTTCGCTTCCATTTTTCTTTCATGCTATTCCTTTAGGTCTTGAGAAGGCAATTCTGGTACATATTACATAACCATCTGGGGCTACATAATATAATAATCTAGTACATGGCCTGACCAGAATAATGCTTAGCAAACTTTTAAAATGTGTATATAAAAAGGAAATTTATTTTAGATTATATTAGTTACCTATTAGTTGTTGTAACAGATGCACATTATCATGATAAGATGAAATTTCAGAAGGCAAACATAGACAATTTTTAAGTAAAATACCAAAATAAAGAGCTGATCAAAAGAGTAAGTTAGCTATGAAGGTTTCAATAGCAGTAGGATTTACTTATATTGCCAGTACCAGATATTGTCTTCAAATTCATGGCTCACTATGAGCTCAAATAATGGGGCTAGACTGTGAGTCTATCCTTTAGAGGTACAGATCACTTTAAGAAGGAAAACTCTTATCCCTAGAAATATACACACAAGTACAAAAATGTTGCTGCAGAACTTCTAAATATTATTAATACACTTTAGAGTCAACAGACTTTACTTCTTGTATTTCAGCAAATTACCACAATGTCATAATTAATAAGGCGGTGGGCATGGGGGCTTAGGAAAAGAGACCCTTCTAAGAAATCTATTATTATCCTACTAGATAACATTCTAAGAAATCTATTATTATCCTACTACCCTCTTGTCTCTTAAATTATTTATGTTTTAAATATTTTGGAAACTGGGGTTTTAAATGTAAGTGCGTTCATTCTATGTTTGAAGATTACTAGAAGTGAGGGTTCAAACTCCCCCTCCTACAGGGATGTGAGTCAGAAAGAGGGAAACTGGGAGGGGGTAGTCCCGGTGCCGCCCGCCATTAGAGGTTCTCCCCCGACTTAAACCGAGCTACCCACGTGGGCTGCCGGCACCCGCGTCCTACTCACTGGCCAGATGTTTCGGCTCCGGTTCTGTGAGCTCATCAGTGGTCGCGCCAAGGGCAGCCTTGGTCGCAGAGGACCCCATCAGCGCATTGTAGACTGCCAGCCACGAGGGCTGCAGTGTCCGGTCCTTCCTCTTCAAGACCAGTGGAGACAGGCACCCCTGGTTACAGACAAGGAGCCCAAGGTGACGAAAGAAAGGCCTGACTCTGCAGGTGGCCCTCACCAGGCGACCTTTTCTTCATGCAGCCTGACGCAGACCTCCAGCATTATGAGGTGGGATTTGAACTTGCTATGCGCCAAGGTTCTTTTTTTGAATGCCGGGAAAGATGGTTGTAGGCGGGAGAAAGGGGTTACCAGGCCCTTTGCTTAGGTTCTGAGAGCTGGATCTGGGCGTGGGACGGAGCATCCCCAGAATAACCAGGGCAAACCTTTTGCATAGTGTATGTTCAATGACAAAATAAACCACCACCATTTAATAAATATTATGAGAAAGAGAGACTTGTTTGAGGCTCTAGATGGAAGATCTGGAGATCTTTAGGTGTCGGGAAGTTAAACAGTCCTTATTATAGTACTTTCGGAACTTGATGTGGCATTGTTGGGAAGATTCAGTCACGTATTATGAGGGCTGTAGCCTGCTTGGGGTCATGTTCTACTCTTCACACAGCATCAGATCCACACGTCCGCCCATAGAATTGTTCATAGTATTCATTTATTATCCTTTTAGTATCCATAGAATCTGATAGTAGTAATGTAAATCTTTTCTTGCTCTTTCTCTCTGACTCTTTTTTCCTGATTGGTCTGGCTAACAATTTTATTCATCTTTATTAACCTTCTCAAAGAACTCACCTTTTTTTTCTTGGATTTTCTCTGTTTTCTATTTCATTAATTTATGTGTTTTTTAAAAATATTTAATAATAATAATAATAATAATAATTAATATGACCAGAGAGAGACAGAAGGAATAGGGTGCGTGCGCTTGCCAGACAGACAGAGAGAGAGACAGAGAAACAGAAAGCGAGAAATCATCCCCCAGGGGGATGGCCACGCCGCAATCTCTTCTCCTCCATTCTCCTCTCGGGATCCTGGGCACACACGCACACGCGCCTGGCGTGAGTTCTAAGCCACTGGGTCCGGGACTCGAACTGCAGTCGACTACGTGGGAGTCCAGCAACATAGCCATTACGCTAACTGCTGGTCCCATTTCTGCTCTTAATTTTATTATTTCCTTCAATGCACTTGCTTGGGTCTATTTTATTTTCTTTATTTTCTGTTTTTTTTTAAACAATTATTTAATTTTATTTATTGTTATTATTTTAATTTGACACAGAGAGGGAAAGCGAGAAAACAAGCTGCCAGGTCCAGGACTCAGACCACAGTTGGTCATAAGGGAGTCCAGTCCCTTAACTACCAAGGCACCTGCTGGCCCCTATTTTCCAGTTTATTAAAGTAGATTAAGATTAAGATACTGACAACGTATTTCTTCTATTGTATAGGCATTTAGTTCTAAGTACTACTTTTGATATCAAGGGACTTTTTTTTTTTTTTCCTGGAGAGGTTTTCGCTATAGGACGCGTATGCTCACCAGACAGAGAGAGAGACATAGAGACAGAAAGCGAGAAATCACCCCCAGGGGGGATGGTCACGCCGCAATCCCTTCTC